CGCCTTCCACGATCTCTATGTTTTCCTGTGTATATCCGATATTTTGTCTTCAGTTTATTGAAGGTACCTGCATATATCTCCATTCGCTTTCTTTAGCATTGAGACCAAATTGTTTTATATCCTCTATGACATTTTGTAGAGTTTCTTCAACTGTAGATAGCTTTGATATCCAAATTGAGAATTTCTTCTTTACATGGTAGTTTTTGCTCTGGCATTTTTATTGCATCAGGTTTTAGGAAACGGTAGGTACGCATATTTGTTCAAATATATGTGGTGTCTTGTACATCATTCTTCATTTTTTTTTTTTTCACTGCTGCAGTGGTACCATTCCAATCTGGAACTTGCAAAGTCAAAGTCAAAGTCAAAAAATGCTTTATTGTCTAAGAACAAAATTCTCGTTGACAAAGCAAAGAATGGAGTATTTTTGTATCTTCTGGGATTGTTTTGTTTTTTTTTTTTTTATTCAGGAGCTAAATGAGACATCAGATTTATTTAAATACATAGAAGGCGATTATCTGTCTGAGGAAAGTCCTAGGGAAAATCCCATAATTATGATGCCAAATTTCTTAGCTTTCTCCTTCATCCATTCCCATCTCAAAGTGACCTGTTCAGTAGTCAATAAATTATCAGTTCCGAATAAGGACAGACAGTATGTCAATGTCCCAGCATGTAACGGTTGAGCCAGTATTAGATAGGCATATACTGCTTGTACTCTAGTTTGAATATATAACTTGATTGCTTCAGCAGAAGTGGCAGGAAATGTACCTTGTTAACTCAGGCCTTCCAGGAATCTATTTAGCACAGTTAGAGCTAGTAGAATGTTTGAGTAGTTGAGTTAAATCAGGCGCATATTCATCAGTCTTTTGGACAGCTTTTATTTCACTTATGTTCTCCAAAAGTTCCTCAGCTAGTTCATTATTTCTACATACTTACTAGAAGATTCTCTTAACGGAATTTGGAATTTTACATAGGAAATAAATTGTTTCTCGAATGGTTTGGAAGTAAAAGCGCGCAACATAAAATTGGCATCACAACTAATAGAATCTTTTACCGTATTTTCGATCAGAATACCGTACCTTAACATAGTTCTATATTTTTACGAAGAAAGGGTTTATTCTTGGACGAGCAGATACATATTTCATTGGCTGAAAGGAAATATACAGGGTGTCCCAGAATATGTGGGCAATCTCTCGGATTCAGATAGAACCCAAAAATATAACATGACAAGTTCCTATAAAAAAAAATTCCTACGGCCCCCCCCTACGAAGTTACGTGCCCCTAAAGGACGCCTCTGAAAATCGGTTTTTTGTTGATAACTTTCAAAATACTTCGTGTAATTTTTTTTTCTTTTAATATGATGGATACTAGGTAAGACCTCTTAAAATGGACCCTTTCAAACACACTTGGCCAATCTAGTTTGCCAGGGACGGACTAGCTTTAAAACAATAATGCTAATTTTTTTTACACCCTGTATGATATAAGCATAGCAATAATATTTTTTTCTGCGATTGACAAGAAATGTCAGCATTTTTGAGCGGTTGACAGGTCGCAAAACTCAATATTCTGGTATTTCAATTATGTTTCAATAGTTGCTAAGGAATCAATGAATAACAATACGGCAAACGCTTTTCCGGCCTAGGCCGGGAAAGTGATTCTCGTACTGCTGAATAATTGGAACTAAAAGACAAACATTTGAGAGGTATTTAACCGATCGCAGAAAAAATAGTATGTGTATTTCGGTGCAAAAGCACATTCTCGGCCATGCAACATATGTTTTTACGTTATGATTGGTTTAAACATGACACTGACTTGACTCTTTTTGTCATTGTTGAGATGATAAAAAAAGGTCGTTTTACACAATACAACACAATAGGAAAATGCATACCAGTTTTATGATTGGCCAAGTGTACACTGGATCCCTAGCAGTTCTATGTGATGCGACGTTGACTGATTTGGTTTCTATAATTTCCTAATAATTCCACCATGCTCTTACTAATTCCCCAAATTTCCCAACTAATTCCACAAATTTCCTGCTAACTCCTATAATTCCCCAGTAATTTCCTAATTCTCCAATAAGTCCTCTAATTTCTTACTAATAGGCGGTTATACACGCACGTGAATGTCTGAAAACATGTACGCACATACACTTGGCCAAACATAAAACTGGTACGCATTTGCCTATTGTGTTGTATTGTGTAAATCGACCTTTTTTATCACCTCAACAATGACAAAAAGGGTCAAGTCAGTGTCATATTTAAACCAATCGTAACATAAAAACATGTTGCATTTACTTTTGTTCAGGTTTGACTTTGACAAAAACTGTCAGACCTAAGTTTTTCAGCACAGACTTTTTGTTGTTAAGCCTGACTCACACTAGGCAAATTTGAAAAATATATATTGTCTGTACCCGTTTTATTCATTGCCTGACTGCCTGAGGGACTCTATGGGACTTCTCTTTGCTGATGACTTCAAGCTCTGTAGGATTGTTGAGCGGCAGGAGGACTGCAGAAGGCTTCAGGGTGACATGGATAGGGTGATGGACTGGTTCAACAACAACAGAATGTCCCTAAATGTTAATAAGTGTTCTGTTGTCAGCTTTACGAGACGAACAAACCCAATAGAAGAAACATACAAGATTGGTGATACTGAGCTTGATCGTCAAACAGAGGTGAAGGATTTGGGTGTCTTTTTCCAGGCCAACATGAAGTTCAATAAGCATTTTCATCATGCTGTCAATAAAGCAGTAAAAGCACTTGGCTTTGTAATCAGGAATAGTAAGAACTTTAAAATAAGTACAATTATTAACTTGTATAATGCTCTGGTGAGACCACACCTTGAATATGCATCACACATTTGGATGCCATTGGAAGCCACGCATATTAATGAAATTGAAAAAGTGCAGAAGAGATTTTTGCGGTATCTCTATGTGGTTAAAAATAATATTTACCCATATATGGTTCCTTACAGGGATATGCTTGTTAGTTTTGAGATAAAGTCATTAGTGGAAAGAAGGAATAATCAGGCTGTGATATTTTTGTTTTATATTTTAAACAACCTAAAGTATAAGGATTGTAATTTAATTAACTATGTCTCCTTAATTGTACCAAAGATTAACTTAAGAATTATGAAAAACAAGAAATACTTTGGTACTGATCCTAGTAATAATATGTCACCATTTAATCGCATGATGACAGTTGCGAACCAAGCACTTAATGAGGTCCAGGTAGATCTTTTTAATGTAACTTTCAATCAATTGAAGGCCCTTTTAAATTAGTCATATATGTTTATATTGTGTACTCTATCTTTATTTCTGTGTTTTACACTTCGCTGTTTTAACTTTACATGTAATTACTATTTTTGGTGTTTGTAAAGTAATGAAATAAATAAATAAATAAATAAATGTTTGGCCAAGTGTACATGAACGCACAAACAAAAACATCAATGTGTATGCAAAATACAGTCGCGTTTTTGAATGTGCAAACTATAGAATGACACTGAAATGAATTCTGGAATCGCTAGAAATTTTGTATGCACACTCAGAATACTGTAGCAAGAGTAGCAAGACTGACAGTTTTGTGCGAGCGTCTGTAAAAAAGTGACATGCACGTTGTTGTTTGCACATTGATGTATGTACGTATATGTATCAAGCCATCCACGTCCGTGTGTAACCGCCTAATTCCTGAAGACTGTACACCAAAATTCCCCTGCGGTTTACCCCTCGTGTAAATTGTACAAAAATCAAATATTTGTACTTAAAGCTCTAACCTAACATTTTGTTTACTGCTGTTTGATGTTCATTTATCATTTCTATTATTTATTTATTCTTAATCATGCCTATTCAACGTCATAAATGCTAATTTCCTTTTTAACTTCGAATGCTGAATCAGTTATACAGAATATGCTTTTTTTCCAAATAAATGCATTGAATTTATTGGATATTGTCTTACAAAAGAGAATAACCTATCAAGTGTTGAAACTTGATAAAATCAAAAAAATCCCGCGTCCCGCACTATTGTCAAGTGTAGCGTTGAATTTCGTGTCTCTTATCAACCATCCAACTACAAAAATGTCTCTTTAAATTATGTAGTATGTTCTTGACAACTATTTGAAAAAAAATAGTTTCTTTTGGTAAAAGTTCATTTTTGATAAATTCAAAGAGGTTTTTTCTCCAGTATATCTGAAGTAAGTAGTACAACTTTACCAAGGAAAAAAATGATAATTTGACAATTGCAGTACCATATTATTTATTAGTATGGAGAATGATTAAGCAACGTTTAACTGAGTTGTGACGTTAAGCCAATCAAAATAGTTTAGGAAAATTCAAAATGTTGATGACTTTCAATTATGAATTTCTCAGAAAATAATCATTCATATCATTTGGTAAGGGCCATCAATATAATATGCTTTTTAAAAGAAATATGATGGAGATTCTTTAATAATTTTTTTTTTGTGCAAGTACTGCAAGTACCCTATTGTAAAGATCTCTGTTCTGTTTGAAAATAATGATAAAGAGAAGATATAAATAGAGTGAGGTTAGAAACTTGCTGGCTGGTTTTTTCAAAAATGTTAATTCAACCCCTTTGGCAATAATAATATAGATACCTACAAATTGGCAAAGCCAAACCAGAAGTTCAAGGCAGGGTAAATAAATCAGAAACCTCAATTTGGCCCCAAGTAAGTTACATTAATATAACCTAAAATACTCAATCCTTCAAGCTTTTTTAAGAACTAAGGACAAGCTTATTGAATTCTCAATTACTGAAATCTGCTGAAGACTTCTCAAGTACAATAGTTGGACTCAAGCATAAAGTCCTCCAAGCCTAATAATAGTGCTGGATTGATTGAAAACACAATAAATATTTGAGTGACTATGCTAAAATAACATTAAGTTAATAAAGCTCACTTTAGCCAAATTAAATATTATTGAATAAAATCCAATGATAAGACGATTATTTTTAAAGTGACAAGATAACAAAATATACAAATTTGAAAATACTTACAATCATCTCCCACAGGTCCTGCTGAACATTGTGCTGGAGGATCCCGTCCAAGATCTTGTAATTCCTACAAAAATAAAAAATAAAAATTCCATCAAAACTATTTAGACACCTTGAGTTTACTTTCACTGAGATAATTTTAGATACTCGAAAGTGGGGCCAGGAATATAACGAATACGGTGAGGTTAGAAGTAACTGCGTGCAGATGAATATACCTGCTTTATGAAGGTTTTTTTTCCAGTTGAAATTATTTATAGCCAATGATCGATAACCATGTTGTTATCAATAGGGGAAAATATATTAGTAATTAAAGTGGCACATTTTTTTTTCCCCAAGAAAATGGATTTTTTTTGTCATAATTATGGTTTCTTCCAGACAAAAAGGATCAATAAACTCGAGTACCTAATTAATCAATTAGTTGATAAAAAATTCTAGAATTTTCGATTTTGCATCGGAATCCTTCAGATTCAGACAGAATTCCTTGTGTTGAATTTCACAAAGTGGGTTGAGGGCGTTGAAACGGGCCGACAAAAATATTGAAATAACGCCACTAAACGTGCAAAATTTCGTCCAACGAAATATAAAAAAACTAATTCCTACCTTATTAATTCGTTTTAAAGCCATTTGATTAAACTGTGTGTGTTAATAAATACTGGCTTTTCACCAGACAATGAATCGGTCAACCAAGGACCTCTCCACTCGTTTCGTCGACTGCAAAGATGGCCTCCGTCAAAACACGACGACGTGAAATCAAATAAAAACTTTTTGAATTTATTTTCCGTTACGTTTCCACTTTGAACGGGGCACGGTGCGTTGGGCCTTTAAAAAGAGGAAATTTTAAATTAATTCGACTAGCACTAAATACGGATTAATTTGGGAAATACCTACGAAAATGATTAATAAGATGACTGATTAGTTCTGTGGCCAAATTTCGAAGCTTTTTTGTTTTTGATTAGTTACCAAATGAAAATTCCCCAGCACTGTCGGTAACATGTGAAACTTCAACGTCAATTTTACGGCAGGTGTTGCGGAAAAAAGATGACGTTATGAAAAATCGAAATCTACACCATATAGTTTTAGTATATTGGTATACCGAGCGATGGCGCCACCTGTTCTATCGATAATTTGAGAAGAAAGAAAAGAGATAGATATAGTGTAGGATAAATTTCTAGTTCGTATAATTTTTGGGTAATAAATATGTTTGAAGTGGATTTATATTATCATTTTGCATTTTTTGGGACTTACCTCACACCTCATAACTTTTTATGTTACCGAAACGTCAGCGAGTAAAGTCCAGAAGTCATCACTCATCGGAGCCTACTCAAGTATTTATAAGTAGGTATTATTTTATTAAAATAAAATAGAACTCCAAGCAAAAAGTATACAAATAATTTTATAGGTAAAATAGACTCCAAGCAAAGATGTGCGTGTAATTATTCTTTTCAAGAACAATAAGAAACTTTTAGTGCAAAATTTAATTGAGGTAAGTCCCAAAAAATGCAGATAGTTATTAGGCTAATAATAGTTTCTTTTTTCCTAAACTAGTGCGGTAATATTAATTTTTCCGCAAGCAATATTTGCAGTTAGGCACATGTCCACAAAAAGCAAATTTCAGAGCTCGTTATACAGGGTGTCCCACCACCGGAAACTGTGACCGGGTATGAAAAACTGTTAACAGAAAAATTTTGAACATTTATTTGACTAAACTGTAAGGCCTGTTCTTGAAAAAGGACGGTTCCAGAACGGTTCAAAACAGAGACCCGGACCGAAATGAAATATCGGTTCCGTTCCGGTTTCGGTCCATAGCGTCATGACAAATATCGATTCCATTATACGGTTCCGGTTCTAAGAGAAATATTTCGATTCGGTTCCGACCAATAATTTCGGTTTTAACGATTCATACCGGTATAGTTTTTCACAAATATCTACCAGAACAATTTATGTTTCTGTAATTTGTAACTTTAATAATAGGTCTGTTTCTGCAGGAATCACAAACCAGTCAGAGCGAATTTCATTGGTTGAAAACAGTCAGAAACAGTCAGAAAACTAGTTTTAACCAATAAAATTCACCCTGACTGGTTTGTGATTCCTGCAGTAACAGACCTAATAATAGTAATTAGGTCTATTTCTGCGAAGAACAATTTTCATTGGTTGCAAACAGTGAGAAAACTAGTTTCCATAGGCGGTTACACACGGACGTGGATGGCTTAATACATATACGTGCATACATCAACGTGCAAACAACAACGTGCCTTTGTACAGACGCTCGCACAAAACTGCAGTCTTGCTATTCTTGCTACAGTATTCCGAGTGTGCATACAAAATTGCACATTCAAAAACGCGACGGTATTTTGCATACACATTCATGTTTTTGTTTGAGCGTTCATGTATGTGCGTACATGTTTTCAGACATCCACGTCCGTGTGTAACCGCCTCATCAATGAAATTCACTCTGACTGGTTTGTGATTTCTGCAGAAACAGACCTATTATTATATATAATAAATTTTTGTGTTCTCGATAAGTTAATTACAGTTTGGATTTTTTAACTTTGCCCATGCGTCATCAATGACACCATGCATATTGTTATGAGGTTTACTGGTGGCCGTATTTATGATACAAGGAAAAGTTAAAAATACAAACTGTAGGTGGTGTTTTATTGCCATTTGAATAGTCATTTAAATAAATATCAAATATTATTATTATAAAAATCTCAAGCCCCCCCACCACGCCAAAGTACCAGCGATGACGTAGGCAGCGTGTCGTTTCTCGCCTTGACGTAGGACGTAGGGTGCTTGCACTACAGGTTAAGATTGCACTGATTTTTGCTTTATGCATATTTGGTTTTAATACATTATTTTAGCATTCTAAAACAATCCTTGTTCAGATCTCGACGATCTCCTTTTGCATCTTCCTCTTTGCCTGTTATGTAAATCAAACTTAAATTATATGTTTCATCAGTTTCATCATAAATGTGGGCATATTCTCAACTACGACCGCTGGCGGAAACAGCTAATGACACCGTTGATGACGTCGGCAACGATGCAACACCATATAAACTTGATTCCAAAAATCGAGGCCGATGAGCAATCCTGTAGTAGTCCCAAGTTCAGAAATGCGCGCTTTAAAATGCTCTGTTTTTTAGACTGTTAAATTTATTACGATACAGCCTAATTTATAATACATAGTTATTTATACACCAAGTGAGTTAAATGAATGTTTATTCATGAGAAGAAATTTTAACTCACGTGATGTACACAAATTTTTTTCCCATTTTGTGGAAATTTGAAAAATAAAGTACCAGAAAAAATGCCGAGAGTGAATTAAAAATATTTTTTTACTACTAACCTGAGAAATAGTCATTATTCAATCTATTTTTCTGGGAAAAAAATGAATTTCTCCCCCTAGGTAAATAATGAAAATAATGAAAAAAAAAACCTAGGTCAATAATGAAAATGACGTCATGACGCAAGGATATTGCCATAACGTAACAGGTTTCTATTGGTTTAATTTCAACTTCAAACTGTCAATTTTATAAAAAAAGGTGCCTGCATATACCATCGTCACCAAAAATAACTGGGAGAGCATCACATTAGCTCTTGGTCCTATTATATAAATTTTATTGTCAAATATTTGTCAAACTATGCATTAAATGCATTGAAATGAATGACAGTAGAATTAGTCCAGGAGATTATTATGCATTATTTGTGTCCCAGATACTTTTGGTGACGATGGTACATAATAGGAAATTACTATAAGCTGTTAATAGAGGGCAGCACTCTCGACAAGAAAAAATAATTTGAGCACAGATTTCAAACCTAGTTTTTATTTTCTATTAGAAGTAGTAAGAAAATAGTTATTTATACACCAAGTGAGTTAAATGAATAAACACTTTAACTCACGAGATGTATACTAGTTATTTATACACCAAGTGAGTTAAATGAATGTTTATTCATGAGAAGAAAGTTTAACCCACGAGCCTAGCTTCCAGTGGCGGCTCGTATATTAAAAATGTGGGGGTTGCAATTTCAATGATGCAATCAGAAAAAAAATCGGTTGGTGAACGACCACAGAATGGAAAAAAAATGAATTCTGTTCAAAATTTAATTTGGCAATTAAATTTTTAACAGAATTCATTTTTTTTTTTCATGCACCACACGACAAAACTTCACAAAACAATCTAATCTGCGCAGCGAGCAAAAAAATAAAGAAAGTTTGCACTTAGTCTGCAACCTGCTGGAGCCTATGGGACGGAATTGGAATCCACGCATAGATAGGCGATCGAATGTGTGCCGTCATATATTAGATGGGTTTGCTGTCGAGCTGCAATCCAGCGACTCGATGCTGCTACTCGAAGCAGCTGGCGGCGTGTCAGTTGTTGATATTTTGGCGAAGGTGGTCAAATAATTTTAATAATTGACAGCGTATTATCATTGTATGTATTATCATTGATTATGTAGGTCCCAAATTTTGGTATAGTTTATTTTTTAAATATAATTAGGTACTGAAATTTAGTTCTACTATTTTTGTTTTATATTTTTTAAGTTTTGTTTTGGGGGTTGCGCGAACCTGCAAACCTAAGGAAGAGCCGGCACTGCTAGCTTCGAATGAATAAACATTTTAACTCACGTGATTTATACAAAATTGTTTCCCATTTTGATGGACATTTAAAAGTAAGGAATCAAATTATAAAAAGAATTCATTTAGTAGTTATGAAAGCGCTAATTATTGAAATTGGTGGTTGCTAAGGTATAACTAGTTGTTTGTTTGTATGTGTAGCAGATTTTTATACTGGCAGAGTGACTTAAAAGACCGAGAGTGAGTTAAAAATATTTCAAGTCACTCAGGTGATAAACGTCTACTTACCTTTGTCATTATGCGTTCAATAATGTCATTTTTAAACGTCAAAATGGGATAAAAAATATTTTATCCCATTTTGTGGAAATTTAAAAAATAAAGTACAAGGAAAAATGCCGGGAGTGAGTTAAAAATATTTTAAATCACTGAGGTTTCAGATTTTTAGTTGGGCAGAGTGACTTAAAATGCTGAGAGTGAGTTAAAATGTTTTTAAATCACTGAGGTGATAAACGTCTACTTACCTTTATTGTTATACGTTCAATAATATCATTTATAAACGTCAAAATGGGATAAATTATATATATTCCTCGGTAGAGAAAGTCATTATATACCTCACGCATTATAAACCTCGGCGCTTCGCGCCTCGGTTTATAAAAGCGCTCGCGGTGTATAATGACCGACTTCTCTATCTAGGTATATAAAGTACCTACTATTATCTACGACCTGCACAATAAGTGACTTTTTCTCCGAATGACAGTAAAAGCGGTCTTCTAATGACACTTGACAGGATCAAAGGTTGTATTTTTACTGCCTAGGCAGTAAAAGTGGACTTTTACTGCCTAGGCAATAAAAGTGACAGTGTCACAACGTTCCAGGTAATAATTTCACTCAATTTGGTATTTGAAATTGATGGTGACAATGACAAATGTCAAAATAATTTAATTATTTGGATAATAATATTGAATGAAATAAATAAGTATAAAAAAGATGTCCATGTGTGAATTTGAACATTCGGAGAAAAAATTATATGTTTTACATGGCAGAAAAGCAGATTTAATGCCTCGGCTGGTTTCCTAGCCTCGGCTATGCCTCGGCTATGAAACACCAGCCGCGGCATTAAATCTTGTACTTTTCTGCCTAGTAAAACAAATAACTATTCATGTCACTTATTTTTGGCAATTTTTGCCCATTTGCGTTTTGTAATGAGCCCTGTTACCGCACTAGTACGGTTATTAATCATAACGCGTTCATTATCGCACTAGTGCGGTAGGAGGTCATTATTTTTTTTAACTACACAATAGTTATTTATAATTTTTTTGCTTAAGTTAGTGACCTCAGTAGATATTCCGGTTGGTTTTTTTTTGAGAAAGATTGAATTTAGGTCAAAAATAAACGGCGTTGGAGAAGATAGGC